TCTTTTTTTTTGCTAATTTATGATTTTTAAGTTTTCAGTAATTGTCATATATGTTAGCTGACTTAAGATGTGACTATACAAATATGAATCTTTAGTTGACCCAGGTTTGCTCAACTGTTATTGGAGCCCACCAAAAAGGGGCGGGGCTTATGAACGGTGAGTTTCAGCTTGTCCTTCTCTTGACCCGTTTCCACAGCAGGAAAGCAGACGGAGCAGCACACGTTTACATTTAATCGGGAAAACCAGAGTTGGTTGCAGCCACTGAAAGCTTTAAGATTCATATTGTGTTCAAGACGAGCGTGTCGAGACAGAAGAATCTCCTAATGAAGTCTCTCCTCGGCTAAATTAATGACATAATTAACATGAGTGGACATGTCTCATATATCAGCAGCTCAAGTGTTTTGTTTACAGACTGCTAATGATTTCTGAAGGTGACGGGCAGCTCCGACGATCTGTTCACTTGAATCTTAAACCGACTTTGAAGAAACTCTTTCCACACATTGGAACTGAAAGAGAAGAAGAGAGTCGGGCTGACAGAAAGCGATGAATCATATATCTGGATGGAGATGAACGGAGAGATTTAACTGGGGGAAGTTAGTCAGATAGAGAGCTGAGTCAGTCTCCTCTTAATGAGCAGATAACTGGAGATGGTTCTGTTCTGCTGCTGAATGTAAGACTTTACTGAGGTACAGTAGTTATCAGTTATAAGTGTTTTGTTAAAGCAGAACTCATTCACAAATCTGAATATGTTGGAGCTAAATGTTAATCCTGTGAGTGTGTGTGTTTGTATCACAGAGGACACAGACAGGTGTGTGTTCCCCCTGTTTCCGGGCACCCCGCTCTCCCCCACCAGCCTGCTGTCCCTGAAGCAGAGTCAGATCGGGTCCGCCGTCAGCCTGCTCGACTTCTACTGCCGCAAGAACTACTGGTCGCAGCCGGAGTACCACCTGTACTCCACGCCGGGACAGGACGGGAAGCTGCTGCTCCTGTACAAGGTCTCCACACCAAACCCCAGTGCTAGATTACTCATTTCTAACTGTATCGTCTTCTCAGTGGAAACACGCTGTTACGTCCTCTATAAATAAATAAACCAGACTTCACTAGAGACTGAAACAACACCTTAATAATTGGGAGGAAAACCCCCAAAATCAAATAGAAAAAGAACAAAAGGTGGGTGCAGAACTCGGCCTGAAAGAACAAAAGAGAACCCGCTGAGACGGCCGCACAGTCGGCCATCACATCCAGCTGATTCCACCTGAAGAAAAACATCTAAATAAACCAACTGAGAACTCAACTCACACTGAATTTTATTGTATGGTTTCTTTGTTTGGAGCATAAACAAATGCTACACACCAAATTTAGAGGCTGAAGTTTTGTGTTTTATTTTTTGTTAATTAAATTTAGTTTCCAGAGGGACTTCTTTAAGTTTAGTTTGTATTAGTTTCAGAGTTTGTTCTTATTAAGGGACACTTTTAAGAAGGAATACAGACAATAAACAGATGTTACCTGTACATTTGTAATATATTTCAGATTGTTTTTTAAGAAGGAAGTCTAGTTTTTATTTTTATTTCAGTTGCTTGGTTTAAGTGAATAAACTCACTGCTCGATGATCCTTTACAGTCCTACCAGAAATAAACAAACAGTGGTGTCAAAATGTTAAAATACACAATAAACAATCAGTGTTTGTTTGTTTGTTTGTTTGTGTGCAGGTGGTGATCCCATCGACACGAAGCACCTTCATCCCCGACAAACTGTGTGCGCTGCTGGACGACGCCAAAGAGCTGGCTGCTCAGACCACGCTGTGGAACCTGGGTACTGCTCACACACACACACACACACACACACACATTCAGATATATGACATATAAACACACAGTTTACGTGAACATATGAATAAACCAGCAGGCCGTTCTCTGGCTGGAGCTCAATGTGCAGTCAGACAGTCAGAAACTTCAGTTTGTCTCTCAGTGTCGTAAAGAGCAGACACACACACACACACACACACACACACTGTATCAATACCCACCCCAACACCAGAGGGATGAATTTATTATCCTGATTACTTTTCGGTGTTACGGTTAGAGGGAGAATTGCCAAGAGCTGCAAACACTGATCACCTTCGTACAAAGAACCTGAGACAATTACTGAAGGAGGAATAAACTGTTAAATGTGTCAATATCCATCCTGTAATGTCAAAAAAACTCCTGGAAAATGATTTCATAAAAAGAGTGCGAACCCTGACAAACACTTCCTGTGACCAGCTCTCTTCAAAATAAAAGTCAACACACGTTTCTCCGGTTGAATGCTCTTATTGTGGAGCTGCAGCAGCAGGAAACGTTCGGTTTGTTAACTTAATACAGCTTTTTGTCCGGGAATAAAAAGTATCCAAAGTTTTCCCAAAAGTGAAACCGAGAACATCTGGATCACCTGTGGTGGCTGCTGTTGAAGAGTTGACAGGCGTGAGTCGACATTTTAAATGTCAATATCACAGACGATCATGTTCATTGATTGTGTGAAATCCTGATTCATTAAAGGATCCTGAGTGTCAATAAAAAGGCAAACTGCTGCTTGAAATCCTGATGATGGCATAAAAGCTAAACAAATGATGAGGAGGTTAAGTTTTAATCTCTTTTCTTCCTCTCAGAGTTTCATTTAAATGTTAAACTGTGAAACTTTTCTCCTCCACAGACCCCCCAGCTGTGATTTTACCCGTTTATGTTGTTTACACTGGCGGCGCGGCGTCGTAAAGGCCGCTGTTTGTTCCAGTTTTTATGATCGTTGTGCTGAGGTGTTAATAATCTACAGGACGATGCAAAGCATTTTAAAGCAGTCTGTTTGTATTCATACAGCAGCCACAGCCCGGAGCTAAAGCAGCAAAATAATGTGTATCTGCATTATTACTTTTTACAGTCTCAATCTCACCATCATCATTTATTCACATTATTTCCACTTCTGCTGTTTCACTTTGTGCAGATGAAGGAAATGAAACTGGGTCGGACGCCACAGGAGTCAAATAATAGTAAAAATAATGGGATGAGATCTTCCTGTGGCTCCTCGTGGACTCATTCGAGTGGCAGTGAGACGTTCTCAAGTGTTTTCAGGTCACCTGAACGCTGCAGGAACATTTGAATCTCAGAAAAGAGTTTGACTGGAGGAGCGAACAGGATTGGCAGCCTTGTCTGAGTATTGTCTGAAGCAGCTGTCAGAGTCTGAACAGGAGCCATCTGGAGCTCCCTCTGAGCCAATCACGGCGCCTTTGAGGAGATTCTGTTTGACGTGAGATATTTGAAGTTAAACATCACCTGCAGAGCGACGGCTGAAAGGAGATCAAAACTCACTTCGACTTATCTGCATTGAAACATTTGTGGCGTTAAAATCGCTCACATTCAGAGCCCAGAGTGGTTTCATAACGCCGGGAACAAACCAGCAGCTTCCTGTCCGACCTGACTTATTTCTCTGGGTGAGGTGGCTTCATTTTAACTTTACCTGCACTGCTCAGTGGTTTTAATGTTATTAAATCCCATCCTGAGCAACGTTCTTGTATTTATTTTGACTTTTGTGTGACCTCTGATCAACACTGACCTAAAAGCAGGTACTGTTGTTCTCTTTTCTCCTTTTAAAGTAGTCGAATTAGCTGTTAGCAGCTCCTGTCAGCGGCACACAACTACAGACAACTCTCACTGGTTTACTGTTACACCGAACAAAACTTAAAAACCTGATATTTCTAAGGCAACTTCTGCAGTTATACAGATATTTAATAAGTAATTTCTACATTTATTTGAGTTTATTCACAATTGGTATAAAGATAATGACCTCCAATCATCTCCTGTAGTTGTACGGATACTGTTACTGTGTATATATGTGTGTGTGTGTGTGTGTGTGTGTACCTGTAGCACCCTCCTCTGAATAAACACTCAGAGATGTTGATCTTGGACCATAATTCTCGCCTCGGTGTAGATTAGGACGCAGAGATGTTTGAACAATCTCCCATCGGGCCTTCCTCGCACCACACACAGCTGTTGTGTCCTGACGACCATCCCCTCTGAAAATAGAGCCTGAGTTTTACCAAATGTGTCTCCGGGGGTTCGGAGCTTAAGTGCAGCATCAGTTCAACCATCCGTGCAGTGAAATGTGGGACTCTGGGATCATCGTGAAAAAGGAAGTTAGAGCTGCGTAGAGAGGAGGGTGAGAAAATGTGATTCAGAGGTAAAATGTTTTTTAATTGACTCGCAGGAAGCCGGGTCCGAACCTCCAACCACCCGCCAACACTAACGCAATTAAAACATGTTTTTTTGGACACGAGTCGTTGCTTTGAAAAAGGTAAAGTTGGCTCCTGGAAGTCGGCCCTGTGGTGGACGCTTTTAATCAAACTCTCTTACACTGCATCCATTTTTCATCGCTCCGCGGGGAGCTGAAGATCTGTGCCAGCTCAGCCCACAACATACAACGTCTCTCCCCCATATCTGCTGTCCTTCCCCTTCTATCCCCTCCGCTCCCTCCTCTATCTCTCTCAGTCTGCGGGTATCTCATGTAGTATGTTTGAAACTGGCATCCAAAAAGAGAGAATCTGCAGAGGTTGAATTATTAACTGGGATTTTACTCCCTGCTGTTAAATCCTGTTTTTTTGGTTCCACTTTTATGGTTTCAGGGTGAAAGTTGCTGAAGTTCTGCAGTGTTTGTGAACTTTGTTTGCCCCCCACTGGTACACAACCTGAGTGGATTACCTGCAGACACTACTCAGGGCTAAAAAATGAATAAAAATCTTTTTTTATTTACAGTTTATATTCTTTTCAAAGGTACCAGTGAGTTGTAGATGGTTGCAACTCGCTTCGCCGTCCCCTTTAAAGTGTGTAGGAGAAACTATGGTGGCCACGAAATGTGCAGAAAATGTAAAAGTCCTGTTCTACAGAAAGTGTTTGAAAGGGTTTGTCGGTAGAGAAAACACCCCTCCGCTATTAAACAAAGGACCTTTAATTTACTCATCGACTGATGTCTCATACTTTCATCTTTTTAAAGTTCTTTTGGTACTTTTTCGGAGCTACTAACGGTCAAACTCCACGAGGACATTTCATATGATGATTAACTACAAAGAGAGTCTGGAAAGGATCTCTGGAACTACCTGTTTATTGTCTGTTAGCGTGTGTGTTTAGCTGTCAGGGAACACAGATGATTATTTTGAGTTATCACGGTTCAGTCGGGGGTTCGGGGGATACACAACCTGAGAAGACGAGCTGAGGGAATCAGAGTCCAAGTGTATCTGTGGAGACTGAAGCTAAATATTTATGTCACTTTCCCTCCATCCTTTTCTCCCATCATCCTCTTTGTTCTTTACCTCCCTCATATCTGACTGTGGCTCCCTGATATCTCCGCTCCCTCCCTCCTTCCTCCCTGTGTCCTCTCCTCCAGACTCGTCCTTCCTCAACGGAGCTTCCTGCGATTCTCCCAGCAGCCCCTCTCCTCCGCTCGCCATCAACTCCTCCTCCTCCTCCGCCAACAGTCCCGGGGTGATGACCTGCGGCGGCAGAGCCTTCGCCTCCTGCCTCCCTCCTCCTCCTCCTCCTCCACCGCCCTCCCCCTTCCCACTCTCTCCTCTCTCCCCCCTCTCTTCTCTGTCATCGCTGTCCCCTCCCACCCCCCAATCACAGAGGCTCTACATCAGCTCCCAGTCGCCTTTCTACTGACGGTGAGACACACTGCTGTTTACTACAGATAGTGAGACTCTGTAGATCCACAGTGTGATTATCAAAATATTGATCACAGAGACTCTCAATACCATCACAATACTTTTTTTAAGACTAGAGCCTTGGAAAAAATTTAATCACACTTTTTTTTATTGCATTACTATAATAATGTTACAGTAATAATATTACTTTCCCCAATATATAGCAGTGCCACTAATTACTAATACATTTCAGTAATTTCTGTATATTTTTATTCAGTTTGGAGCAAAATGGTCAAAGTTGATAAAAAGAGGGGCCTTCATTTGTTGTTTGTCTATGAACTAGAATATATGATACAGAAACTGCTGGTTTTTGTTAAATACGATGTTAGAAATGGAAATATTCTCATAATATTGAACTTTCTTGGAGTACTTGAACGTTGAAGTGGCCCTCTTACAAGATCACAGTATCAGCAGTGGCCCTGGTTTAACCCTATCGCCCACCTCATCCCCATTTATAGCTAAACTATTTGGCTCTTCACACCTGGGGACCGTTCGGACCCAAATCTAGTTAAAATACAGTAACCACTGGTCTCATTGGGTATTTCTGGATGTGGAGCAGATTTCTCTTTATGTGTTGAGTGTGTTTTATTGCCACAGTAAAAGTGTTCTTATTTGCACATTAAACATTTCATTCAGTGATGTAAAGATGTGTTGTTTTTGTTACAGGAGACCTCAGCGGCGACGGGATGATTCAAGGACAAGAAGGAGAAAAGGCAGGACTGTCTTTATTATGATTACACCAGATATTCCCCAACGCAGTGTTTGTGTGATGGGCCGCTGCCTCAGGCACAGACGGACCAACAGAAAACGTTTTTCCTTCCTCCCTTTATTTTGAAATGTTATCTCAGTCAGAGATGAGGGAGGGAGAGAAGGACAATATTTAGTTTCCGATCAGCCACTCAGCTTCTTCTCTCTATCACCTCTTATTCAGAAAACTAAACCAAAAGAGAACAAAGATAAACACAGTTTAGTTTCATAAAGACACACTAACTGATAAAAAGTCTCTCGACCTCTGTTAAATGTCAGCCTCCTTCCCTTCAGCTAAAGATCACCTTAAACTACCCATAATGCACAGCACGGACAAGACTATCCAATCCATACATATATATGAACTTTTTATACAACCCTACCTCCAATTTAGGTGGGTTTTCTTACTTGTTGGGGCCAATTTTCATAGTTTTACAGTTGAAATCAGTTTTAAGAAAAAGAAAGAAAGAAAAAAGTAGTTTTGTTTCCTAAATCAAACCAAACTACAACTGAATCCTGAAAATAAAACGCCAACTAAGTCTAAAATTTAGTCCACATTAACTTCTGTTTTCAACTCAAACTATATTTCAACTATAAAAAAAATTCCTTTGTTTATAGCTAAACTATTTGGCTATTCACATCCGCAGACTGATGCAAATAGACTAAAAACATCTGCTTTCACATTGGACTCGAACCCCCATCTCCCAGAGAAAGTCCGGTGTTTAATGTGGACTTTTTATAGCTGAACTATTCAGTTTTTAGGTATAAAATATATAATTTTTCTCATGTGAGAACAAAGTTGGACAAAAAGTGTGATTTACACTTTAAATAAAGAGTGGATCCTTTTCTCTGTGATGATTGAGACGAAAGAACCAATCGTCTCCTCAGTGAGAAAAGTTTCACTACGAACATTAATGCCACCGTTTTTGGGATAAAATGTGTTTTGAGTTTTTGATCCTCACTCAGGCTCAGTCTGGTAGTTTTGAGAGTACGGAGCTCCATTAGAGTGAATTACACAGGAAATAACAGAAAATGGAAAAGGATTGAGAGATTTAAAAAAAAAAACCACAGCCTTTTCCACGACATTAGTCAGGTCTGATTTCCATTTCCTTTCATCCTCCCATTACACCACTCATCTCTGGAGAGAGAGCTAAAAACAGAGGAAGGGGAGGAGGGCTGACTTCACTTTCTTCTTCTTCCAGCGGACTGTTTGTAGCTACTGATCCCTTTCATGTTCGTGTTAACCCGAGTTATCTGAGGGACCATAAAGGCAGATTTTAGGCGTCCGTCCATCCAGCTGATTTCGCTAAACGTTAGCGGTCATCTGAGGAGAACGGGAGTCCAGTTTTTCATGTTTCCTAATTGGCTGAAAAGACTCAACGTTGCGAGAAAGCCGAGACCGTTTGAGCCTCCGGTCATCGGAGAATGCGGGAAGTTGTTTACACGTTCCTCGGTTTGCTTGACCCACTTTACCACTGTGTTTTTGTTTTTAGGCTCCAGTAATCTGAAGGAGGAAGAGAAAAAAAAGCCTTTGAGGGCAGATTTAAGATATTTTTCCTTTAGATTAAACGTACGGACCTCTGTTTTTGCTCCTAATTTAAGCTCTCTGAGAAAACAGAAACAGAAAGTGGTTATAACAACACCATTAAATGTGTTCTTCCATGTTTCCTAATTCGGCCAGTTTCATGGTTTCCTCCTCGGGTTTTCACAGTCTGGTTCGGAAAGTTACAGGTAAAACAAAACGTTTGTTTTATCAACTTTAAATTCTACAATCAAAAATATATATATTAAATACATTCAATTTGACTACTTCTGAGGCACCAATATAAATAAATGAATGAGTAAAAAAAGATTTGCCTTCCTAAAACTACTTTCATTTTTTATTTTTGAAAACTAAATGTACAAGAAATTGTAGTTTAATGAGTAAAAATATGAAAAATCAAAGTAATTAAAATAATAAGAGACTTTTTCCTTTTGGTCTCTGAGATCTGGAGGATGAAAGCAGGAAGTGTCTTTATTTCTTTATCAGAGGAGAAGAAACGAGAAGCAGAGTGGACACGAGACACAGAACCAGAGTTTGGAGGTTTTTCCAACTCTGAAGGTTTTATTGATCTGTTTTAACTTGCCGCAGATCAAACAGTTTAAAGGGCAAATTATTCTTCTGTGCCTTCATGTATTGTTTGTTTATTGATCTGTTCCGACCGAGCAGCCAATGGATGTTCTTGGTTATTTTTGTCAGTTCGAGCCTCAAACACGTGTTGTATATATATTTATACAATGAATGTTTTCTGTTCCTTTAATCCAGTTTGTGTTTCAGTCTGCTCGTTCAAAGTTTCTGAAGGTTTGTTCGGTTTGTTTTCTGGCTGATTATATTAAGTTCTTTAGGTAGCAGCTCAGTTTGAATTCAGTTGATATCAGAGGAAGTTGAGGTGTAATTTGTCACTTTAAAAGTCTCAAAAGTAATTCGAGAGAGAGACTTAAATTATAGTTTGTAATATTTGTCCCGGTTGTCTTTTTTATTCAGTGAACCAATTCAACTCCTTTTAATCTGTTTTTAATTTTAAATTGTGATCGGTTTACTGATGCAAATCAATCTGAAAAAAGTAATAATACAATTAAAAAAAGGCCTATTTATTTAAGAGTCCACAGAACAAAACCTAATCAAAGCCACAAATCAGGAAATAAAGAAAATCTGTAAAAACTAACTCAGTATTAATAAATAAACCCTATTTATTCAAACGTCAGTGTGAAACTTCAGTTATAAAATCTTAAATGTCACACCCGCTTAAAATGAAACAGAGAATGAAGAGTTTGATTAGAAAATGAGAACTCAGCCTTGTCATTAAATTGTTATTGTTGATTTATTTTTCTGTGATTAAATTTCAGCTTGTTTTGTCTTTTGGAATAAAACTTTTTACCACTGTTTGACAGATTTACAGATGATGTGTTGATTTGTTGTTTGTCAAAAGAAAAATTATCTTTTCAAACCAAGCAAAAGCTGCAGTTCCTCCTGCAGTTACTAGAGGCTCCAGCAGTCAGTCTCCATAAGGCCTCATATTAAAATGTGCAACTTTACAGCCGACCACAGTACTCGCAGTGTAGTGACCTGTGTGTGACGTCACACAGACTATGGACTGCTTTAATTACACAGTTTATGTCTTCAAATATAGAGTTTACACAGTCTGCATGTGTTTTGAGGAGGGAGCCCAAAGTTAGAAGTATTAAAGGATCAGTGTGAAGGATTTACTTGGATCTGGTGGCAGGCCGCAACGCCATCGTTTCAGCCTCCATTTCCAAGCGTAAAGGAGAAACTACGGTGGCTGTGAAATGAGTGAAAATTGTCCCAATCTACAGTCAGTGTTTGGGTTGCTGCTCTGGGCTGCTGTGGAAACATTAATTAAATGTGGCAGATAAAAACGTCTCATTCTAAGGTAACGAAAACAATGAATCTTATTTTCATATAAACTAATGAAAACATACCTATGGATATTATATTACATTTCTGACAATAGATCCTCCTCAGTGTTACACATTGGACTTTTAGTTGGATAAATAAAGTGTTAAATAAGGCAGAAACAGCTACTACAGGAAGGTATTAAGTAGTTTTGGGTGTTTTTCATTGTTAAAAGTGTTTCTGTGATAAGTTAAGTATTAAAAGGTCAGAGTGTGTAATGTTACATTCAGTGTGCGAGAGAGTGAATGAAGTCCGATAAAGAGCTTACACCCATCAGGAGATTACATCCAGAGCTACAGGAGTCTTCTGTGTGTGTTTAGAGATAGAAGTTATTGAGTGTGTGATGGTGAGAAGAGATGTGTGTGTGTTTATAATAACTCTGTAAGTGGCTTCGTTCTCTCTCTCTCTGTGGATTAATCTCTTCCTGTCTGATAGAAATGGCTGCTGGATCTGTGGGAGCAGCTTCTCACTCATTTTATCTCTCCAGAGGAACGAAGACACCTCGACAAACGTGTGATTGTTTAACCGTTAACGTGCCGCTCTACGCAGTCCCGACAGGAAACTAACGCACATTCAAGTTGGACCCATTGCTGACGTTTCCTGAGCAAAACGAGTCATACGTCTCCAAACTCACTTCGTTATTTGTTGTTGCAGACGTGTGCAAGCAATTTTCTCCCTCAAAAACATTGCAATGTTTAGAAAAGCTTCGGTGAAATCAACAATTTTTGGCCGACTTGCCAGTTCTATATGAGAAATGTACAGTTTGGGTCTTTTAGAAACTGACAGACGATAATTTGCATATGTTGGACAATTAGCATAAACACAAAAAGCCGTTTTAAACCAGAAATTTCAACTCCTGGTGGGACAATTTTGATTAATTTTGATTATTTTCAGGGGGCAATTAAGACGTTACGGCAGCTCAAACAACATTGAAAATAAGTAGACAATTATAATAAAATAAAAACACAATAAGTAGAGATCTGAAACAATATACAGGTGAATAGAAACTTTCTTTCTGTGTTTTTTCCTGTTTTTAGCTCCAGTCTTTCTTCTTCTATCTGACTCTCTTTAAAATCCCTGTTCACTTCCTCTCTCTCTTCTTCTTCTCTGCTCAGCTCTTCTGTCAGCATTCAGAGCTCAACACCTCTGTTGTAATCAGTGTTGTGTGTGTGTGTGTGTGTATGAGAGAGAGAGAGAGAGAGAGAAAAAGGCATTTTCAGGTGTTTTTGCTGTCTGATGGTTAAAGGACATCAAAGCCATCGTTCTTTTCTTTTAACTCGCTGATGGAGGAAAACTCACTTATTCTCTCTTCCTGTATGAAAACTGCTGAAACACAATGTGTGAGTGTGTGTGAGAGAGTGTGATGAGATGTGTGTGTGTGGTGTGTGAGGATGAAGTTTGAGCTCTGGGAAGTGAGGACGCTATGTATGCTGTGCGTAAGTTATTAGAACCCAAGTATTGAAATCCTCCCCAAAACTCCAAAAGAA